GGGAGCTACGACTGGAGTCAGAACCTCCATATGCTCCCTCCAGGCTCTCTCCAGGTAGGTAGCGGGGGTCCAGTGTCACCTGTGGGTGGTGGGCGGGCTGTGGAGCGTCCCGCGAGTGGTGGGCGGGCTGTGGGGCGTCCCGCGGGTGGTGGGCGGGCTGTGGGGCATCCCTAGGGTGGTGGGCGGGGTGAGTCTCTCGCTGATGATGGGCAGCCTGTGTAGTGTGGGTGTGAGGGGTTGTAGGGGTGGGGGTATGGGCGTCCTGGTGGGTGTAGAGAGGCAGGTGGGGCGAGGAGCCGGCTAGGGGTGGGCAGGCATACGGGTGGGTGTGCCCCGGCGTGTAACAGAAGCGGTACCCCGCTCCTGAGGACCCCTGGCGGGGCAGAGTGGCGGTCCTCACGCCCACGCCCTCCACTTCCTCGCCCTCGGGAAGACTGCGCCTCTTCAGCGAGCTGAAAGATCTGCGCCGCTCGCAAGCTGGCTCGTCACGCTCCTGCCCATACATACTACACACCCGGCTGGCTAGCGAGCCGGCCGCGCTCTCACACGGTTGCTGTGCTACGCTTATCGCTGGATCGTGAGGTCTCCGGGGTGACCTGAGGCCTTCCCTAGGTAGCGGGGCTGGACTTCGGGGCGGGGGTGGCGGGGGAGCAGGTAAAGTGGGAGACACTCGCCCCGTGTACAGGTATTGACTCGAGTCTTCGGAGCTTTCGACATTCTCCGCCTGGTGTTCGTCTTCCTTCGTCCTAGTATCGTCCTTGTCCCTGCCATCCCCACTGGCCACATCGGGGTCGTCACTGTCATCGTCCCGGGGAGGGCGGTGGGCCACCAGGTCCAAGGTGATCCTGCCTCGCTCGTGCTCTGGAGGGGAGGTCTGCGAGGCAGTGTCCTGTGCGCACGACTCCTTGGTCGAGTCTCTGGAATTGACAATGGACGGCAGCGAGGGTGAGGTCGTGCTCGACAGTGAGCACAAGTCCTCAGGTGAGCCCGGCAGTGGGCGCAGTGGCGCAAGTGCTTGCGGACCTTGAGGAGCCAGACCATCCCAAAGAGAGCCATCATGGCGGGGAGGAGGCGCAGCTGCGCGTCATCACTCCGCCCTGTAGCGCCCTGGCCGCCACCTCCCTCATGCTCCACACTCGCTTACACTTCACTCAACACTTCACTAAACACTCGCTACACTATTACATTTCCCGGAGTGAGGCAAGAACTCTCCACTATACACTATCTCGCTCATCTTTCCTCACTCTAGTGAATCATGTCGTTATTAAATAAACACTCCCATCATCTTACAGCGTTTCAGAGTCTGTTTATCCTCTTATTGTATTATATCATCCCCCCTCCTTTTACAATGCCTGGAATAGAATTGCAATTAGAAGAGAGACAAGCATCACTGTCACAACAGCCACCAGTCTTACTCCCGCTGATGGCACTGCAACCACTCTCTCCTGTACACCCTTCTTGATAATCCCACTAAACTCCCTGTACACCCTGCAGGAAAGCACCTTGATACTCCCACTAAATTCAATGTACACCTTGCAAGAAGGTGATTTGATGTTGCAGCTTCCCTCCTGTACACCCTAAATGAAAGTGACTTGATGTTGCAACTACCCTCCCTGCACACCCTTCAAGGACGTGCCTTGACCCTGGAACTACACCCATTCTCTGGGTGCTATACGAGCTCTTTAGGTTTCGCGCTTCCCCATTAACATACTTAAAGTAATATCCTCCTCAAAACTCAACGTTTTAGACTATGTAAACAGGGCATGTTAAATACACTTTCCACAATAATAGAATAAAGTCTAGAGAATAAAATATTTCTCACGGTACTGTAAGGAATAAAAACAAGGTATTTAAAAAAAATGGATTACCCAAATATTAGTGCGAATATAAGTCGTCACACTAAGGAATTAAAGCGTCCTCCCAAAAAAGGCTGTCTTCACCCAGAGTAGGGTATCTCAACTCAGATTGTCTTCACCCAGAGTAGGGTATCTCAACTCAGATTGTCTTCACCCTGAGTAGGGTATCTCAACTCAGATTGTCTTCACTCATAATTAGGATACCTCAACTCATTTTGTCTTCACCCAGAGTAGGGTATCTCAACTCAGATTGTCTTCACCCAGAGTAGGGTATCTCAACTCAGATTGTCTTCACTCATAATTAGGATACCTCAACTCAGATTGTCTTCACCCAGAGTAGGGTATCTCAACTCAGATTGTCTTCACCCAGAGTAGGGTATCTCAACTCAGATTGTCTTCACCCAGAGTAGGGTATCTCAACTCAGATTGTCTTCACCTATGGGGATATCTCAACTCAGATTGTCTTCACTCATAATAGGATACCTCAACTCAGATTGTCTTCACCCGAGTAGGGTATCTCAACTCAGATTGTCTTCACCCTGAGTAGGGTATCTCAACTCAGATTGTCTTCACCCAGAGTAGGGTATCTCAACTCGGATTGTCTTCATTCAGAGTAGGGTATCTCAACTCAGATTGTCTTCACCCAGAGTAGGGTATCTCAACTCAGATTGTCTTCACCCAGAGTAGGGTATCTCAACTCAGATTGTCTTCACCCAGAGTAGGGTATCTCAACTCAGATTGTCTTCACTCAGAGTAAGGTAACCCAACACAAGCTCAACTATTTCACTCTGTCCAACAATTATTAACAACCACCTCCTCCTATCTTCACGTGACCTCCTGGCCTAAATAAGAGGTAATGTCTCATTTCTTTGTATGTGCCGAAAAAGGTCTCAACCCTAGGTAGAAATACAGGAATAATTAGTCCCCTACTTTTGCCTTCACGTGGGTGACCCTCTACAATTGATTTCGATCTCCCACCCCCCATCTTTTCCTTTCTCTGCCACGTGTATAACACCATATATATATATGTCGTGCCGAATAAGGCAAGCGAAAATTTGTGTATGCAATAATTTCGCAAAAAATCATTTGGAATCTAACGAAAATTTTTTATTCCCTTATGTTTATTTATTATTAAATTACTGCAAACTTATCTAAAATATATTTAGTTGGATTAGGCTAAACTAAACTGAGCTTGTTATAATAAGGTTAGGTAAGTTTCTTAAGATTCTTTTGGAACAAAATTATTAGTTTTTACATTAACAAAAATTAAAAAATATATCTTTAAACGTATAAGAGAAAATATTAGCAAGGACTTAATTTCAAATGAGCTCCTGCTAATTCAAAAGTTTTACCTATTAGGCACGACATCATATATATAATATATATATTATATATATATATATATATATATATTATAATAATATATATATATATATATATATATATATATATATATTATATATATATATATATATATATATGTCGTGCCGAATATGTAAAATTGGTCAATTAGCAAGAACTCATTTAAAACTAAGTCCTTTCTGAAATTTTCTTTTATACGTTTAAAGATATTTTTTTTCATTAATGTTAATGTAAAAAATTTTAATTTTGCACCATAAGAATCTTAGAAAACTTATCTAACCTTATTATACAAGAGCAATTTATTTTAGCCTAACCCAACTAAATATATTTTAGATTTGTTTACAATATTTTAATACTAAACAAACACAGTGAAATATATTTTTTTAGTTAGGTTCAGAATGATTTTGGCGAAATTATTGCATACACAAATTTTCACTTGTCCTATATGGCAAGATGAGCGTTGCTATTTAAGCCAAGATCGCAAGTTATGCCTATTCGGCACGACATATATTATATATATATATATATATATATATATATATATATATATATATATATATAATTATATATATATATATATATATATATATATATATATATATATATTATCCTGACAGTGCGCCAACTTTAGTCGCCACTCCGGTGAGAGGCGACGAACCGTGCGATGTGAGGATTAAACTCATTGAAATATGTAAATATATGTACATAAATGCGTGATAATGCAACCCCCAAAACTCGCTGATTTCTGCCGGTTCAAATTAATATTCCGCCTTACCGATAAACTTGCAAATCGTACGGTTAACGTTACTGGAACTGAACAGAATATCCGTTCCGAAAGTGTTGTGTGTGTGTGTGTGTGTGTGTGTGTGTGTGTGTGTGTGTGTATGTGTGTGTGTGTGTGTGTGTGTGGTGTGTGTGTGTGTGTGTGTGTGTGTGTGTGTGTGTGTGTGTGTGTGTGTGTGTGTGTGTGATGTGTGTGCTCACCTAATTGTGGTTGCAGGAGTCGAGACTCAGCTCCTGGCCCCCGCCTCTTCACTGGTTGCTACTAGGTCCTCTCCCTCCCTGCTCCATGAGCTTTATCATACCTCGTCGTAAAACTATGTATGGCTCCTGCCTCCACTACATCACTTGCCAGACTATTCCACTTCCTGACAACTCTAAGACTGAAGAAATACTTCCAAACATCCCTGTGACTCATCTGAGTCTTCAACTTCCAATTGTGACCCCTTGTTGCTGTGTCCCATCTCTGGAACATCCTGTCTCTGTCCACCTTACCTATTCCTCGCAATATTTTGTATGTCGTAGGATATTCACCTTAGCTCTGGAACCAGCCTTGTTGCAAACCTTTGCACTTTCTCTAATTTCTTGACGTGTTTGACCAGGTGTGGGTTCCAAACTTGTGCTGCATACTGCAGTATGGGCCTGACGTACACGGTGTACAGTGTCTTGAACGATTCCTTACTGAGGTATCGGAACGCTATTCTCAGGTTTGCCAGGCGCCCATATGCTGCAGCGGTTATCTGGTTGATGTGTGCTTCCGGAGACGTTCTCGGTATTATACTCAACCCAAGATCTTTCTCCTTGAGTGAGGTTTGCAGTCTTTGGCCATCTAGCCTATACTCTGTCTGCGGTCTTCTTTGCCATTCCCCGATGTTCATGACTTTGCGTTTGGCGGGGTTAAATTCTAAGAACCAGTTGCTGGAACACGCGTCCAGCCTGTCCAGGTCTCTTTGTAGACCTGTCTCGTCCTCATCTGATTGAATTCTCCTCATTAACTTCACATCATCTGCGAACAGGTACACTTCTGAGTCTCTCCTTCATTTTGTAGATGGCGTGGTACTGGGTAGCGGCGTGGGTGGAGGCGGGGGTGGGGGTGTGGGTGGAGGCCGGTGCGTGGGTGGAGGCGGGGGCATGGGTGGAAGCCGGTGTGGGGAGGAAGTAGACTGCCCCCTCAGAGAAGGGGAGGGGTGGTGGCAGACTTTGATCACTGTAAGTGCTTCTGGAGCCGCTGTGGGAGCTACGACTGGAGTCAGAACCTCCATATGCTCCCTTCAGGCTCTCTCCAGGTAGGTAGCGGGGGTCCAGTGTCACCTGTGGGTGGTGGGCGGTCTGTGGAGCGTCTCGCGAGTGGTGAGCGGGCTGTAGGGCGTCCCGCGGGTGGTGGGCGGGCTGTGGGGCATCCCTAGGGTGGTGGGCGGGGTGAGTCTCTCGCTGATGATGGGCAGCCTGTGTAGTGTGGGTGTGAGGGGTTGTGGGGGTCGGGGTATGGGGGTCCTGGTGGGTGTAGAGAGGCAGGTGGGGCGAGGAGCCGGCTAGGGGTGGGCAGGCGTACGGGTGGGTGTGCCCCGGCGTGTAATAGAAGCGGTACCCCGCTCCTGAGGACCCCTGGCGGGACAGAGTAGCGGTCCTCACGCCCACGCCCTCCACTTCCTCGCCTTCGGGAAGACTGCGCCTCTTCAGCGAGCTGAAAGATCTGCGCCGCTCGCAAGCTGGCTCGTCACGCTCCTGCCCATACATACTACACACCCGGCTGGCTAGCGAGCCGGCCACGCTCTCACACGGTTGCTGTGCTACGCTTATCGCTGGATCGTGAGGTCTTCGGGGTGACCTGAGGCCTTCCCTAGGTAGCGGGGCGGGACTTCGGGGCGGGGGAGCAGGTAAAGTGCGAGACACTCGCCCCGTGTACAGGTATTGACTCGAGTCTTCGGAGCTTTCGACATTCTCCGCCTGGTGTTCGTCTTCCTTCGTCCTAGTATCGTCCTTGTCCCTGCCATCCCCACTGGCCACATCGGGGTCGTCACTGTCATCGTCCCGGGGAGGGCGGTGGGCCACCAGGTCCAAGGTGATCCTGCCTCGCTCGTGCTCTGGAGGGGAGGTCTGCGAGGCAGTGTCCTGTGCGCACGACTCCTTGGTCGAGTCTCTGGAATTGACAATGGACGGCAGCGAGGGTGAAGGTCGTGCTCGACAGTGAGCACAAGTCCTCAGGTGAGCCCGGCAGTGGGCGCAGTGGCGCAAGTGCTTGCGGACCTTGAGGAGCCAGACCATCCCAAAGAGAGCCATCATGGCGGGGAGGAGGCGCAGCTGCGCGTCACACTCCGCCCTGTAGCGCCCTGGCCGCCACCTCCCTCATGCTCCACACTCGCTTACACTTCACTCAACACTTCACTAAACACTCGCTACACTATTACATTTCCCGGAGTGAGGCAAGAACTCTCCACTATACACTATCTCGCTCATCTTTCCTCACTCTAGTGAATCATGTCGTTATTAAATAAACACTCCCATCATCTTACAGCGTTTCAGAGTCTGTTTATCCTCTTATTGTATTATATCATCCCCCCTCCTTTTACAATGCCTGGAATAGAATTGCAATTAGAAGAGAGACAAGCATCACTGTCACAACAGCCACCAGTCTTACTCCCGCTGATGGCACTGCAACCACTCTCTCCTGTACACCCTTCAGGAAGGTATCTTGATAATCCCAATAAACTCCCTGTACACCCTCCAGGAAAGCACCTTGATACTCCCACTAAATTCAATGTACACCTTGCAAGAAGGTGCCTTGATGTTGCAGCTTCCCTCCTGTACACCCTAAATGAAAGTGACTTGATGTTGCAACTACCCTCCCTGCACACCCTTCAAGGACGTGCCTTGACCCTGGAACTACACCCATTCTCTGGGTGCTATACGAGCTCTTTAGGTTTTGCGCTTCCCCAATGATATAATTAAAGTAATATCCTCCTTAAAACTCAACGTTTTAGACTATGTAAACAGAGCATGTTAAATACACTTTCCACAATAATAGAATAAAGTCCAGAGAATAAAATATTTCTCACGGCACTGTAAGGAATAAAAACAAGGTATTTAAAAAAATGGATTACCCAAACATTAGTGCGAATATAAGTCGTCACACTAAGGAATTAAAGCTTCGTCCCAAAAAAGGCTGTCTTCACCCAGAGTAGGGTATCTCAACTCAGATTGTCTTCACCCAGAGTAGGGTATCTCAACTCAGATTGTCTTCACCCAGAGTAGGGTATCTCAACTCAGATTGTCTTCACCCAGAGTAGGGTATCTCAACTCAGATTGTCTTCACCCAGAGTAGGGTATCTCAACTCAGATTGTCTTCACCCAGAGTAGCGTATCTCAACTCAGATTGTCTTCACCCAGAGTAGGGTATCTCAACTCAGATTGTCTTCACCCAGAGTAGGGTATCTCAACTCAGATTGTCTTCACTCAAGAGTAGGGTATCTCAACTCAGATTGTCTTCACTCAGAGTAGGGTATCTCAACTCAGATTGTCTTCACCCAGAGTAAGATATCTCAACTCAGATTGTCTTCCCCCAGAGTAGGGTATCTCAACTCAGATTGTCTTCACCCAGAGTAGGGTATCTCAACTCAGACTGTCTTCTATCAGAGTAGGGTATCTCAACTCAGATTGTCTTCACCCAGAGTAGGGTATCTCAACTAAGATTGTCTTCACACCGAGTAAGGTAGCCCAACCCAAGCTCGTCTATTTCACTCTGTCCAACAATTATTAACAACCACCTCCTCCTATCTTCACGTGACCTCCTGGCCTAAATAAGAGGTAATGTCTCATTTCTTTGTATGTGCCGAAGAAGGTCTCAACCCTAATTCGAAATACAAAAATAATTAGTCCCCTACTTTTGCCTTCACGTGGGTGACCCTCTACAATTGATTTCGATCTCCCACCCCCCATCTTTTCCTTTCTCTACCACGTGTATAACACCATATATATATACGTCGTGGTTAATAGGTATTACTTGAGAATTTGGCTTAAATAGCAACGCTCTCCTTGCCGAATAGGGCAAGCGAAAATTTGTGTATGCAATAATTTCGCAAAAATCATTCTGAATCTTACGAAAAATTTGTATTCCATTATGTTTATTTATTATTAAATTACTGTAAACTTATCTAAAATATATTTAGATGGATTAGGCTAAACTAAACTGAGCTTGTTATAATAAGGCTAGGTAAGTTTCTTACGATTCTTTTGGTGCAAAATTATTAGTTTTTACATTAACAAAAATTAAAAAAAATATATCTTTAAACGCATAAGAGAAAATATTACCAAGGACTTAATTTCAAATGAGTTCCTGCTAATTCACGTTTTACCTATTCGGCACGACATCATATATATATATATATATATATAATATATATATATATATATATATATATAAAATATAAAATATATATATATATATATATATATATATATATATATATATATAATATCCTGACAGTGCGCCAACTTTAGTCGCCACTCCGGTGAGAGGCGACGAACCGTGCGATGTGAGGATTAAACTCATTGAAATATGTAAATATATGTACATAAATGCGTGATAATGCAACCCCAAAACTCGCTGATTTTTGCCGGTTCGAATTAATATTCCGCCTTACCGATAAACTTGCAAATCGTACGGTTAACGCTACTGGAACTGAACAGAATATCCGTTCCGAAAGTGTGTGTGTGTGTGTGTGTGTGTGTGTGTGTGTGTGTGTGTGTGTGTGTGTGTGTGTGTGTGTGTGTGTGTGTGTGTGTGTGTGCGTGTGTGTGTGTGCGTGTGTGTGCGCGTGTGCGTGTGTGGTGTGTGTGTGTGTGTGTGCGTGTGTGTGGACTCAGCTCCTGGCCCCCGCTTCTTCACTGGTCGCTACTAGGTCCTCTCCCTCCCTGCTCCATGAGCTTTAACATACCTCGTCTTAAAACTATGTATGGTTCCTGCCTCCACTACATCACTTGCCAGACTATTCCACTTCCTGACAACTCTACGACTGAATACTTCCAAATATCCCTGTGACTCATCTGAGTCTTCAACTTCCAATTGTGACCCCTTGTTGCTGTGTCCCATCTCTGGAACATCCTGTCTCTGTCCACCTTACCTATTCCTCGCAATATTTTGTATGTCGTAGGATATTCACCTTAGCTCTGGAACCAGCCTTGTTACAAACCTTTGCACTTTCTCTAATATCTTGACGTGTTTGACCAGGTGTGGGTTCCAAACTTGTGCTGCATACTGCAGTATGGGCCTGACGTACACGGTGTACAGTGTCTTGAACGATTCCTTACTGAGGTATCGGAACGCTATTCTCAGGTTTGCCAGGCGCCCATATGCTGCAGCGGTTATCTGGTTGATGTGTGCTTCCGGAGACGTTCTCGGAAGACGTTTCTCCTTGAGTGAGGTTTGCAGTCTTTGGCCATCTAGCCTATACTCTGTCTGCGGTCTTCTTTGCCATTCCCCGATGTTCATGACTTTGCGTTTGTCGGGGTTAAATTCTAGGAGCCAGTTGCTGGACCACGCGTCCAGCCTGTCCAGGTCTCTTTGCAGACCTGTCTCGTCCTCATCTGATTGAATTCTCCTCATTAATTTCACATCATCTGCGAACAGGTACACTTCTGAGTCTATCCCTTCCATTATGTCATTTACATATACCAAAAATATCACTGGTCCTATGACTGACCCCTGTGTGTGTGTGTGCGAGAGAGAGAGAGAGAGAGAGCGAGAGCGAGAGAAAGAGAGAGAGAGAGAGAGAGAGAGAGAGAGAGAGAGAGAGAGAGAGAGAGAGAGAGAGAGAGAGAGAGAGAGAGAGAGAGAGAGAGAGAGAGAGAGAGAGAGAGATGTAGGTAATGGAACGTTTTCAGGAAGAGGGAAAAATGGTCTGTACTAGATTGGAAAATTCGTTGTTGATCGGCAAAGATATTAAACACAGAGCGTCATTGGGGAATATTGGCCAGGCTCGCGAAGTGAAGTTGGCCTGATATCCAGTTTACGAACACCCCTGATGCTTTATGAACACCCCCTGATGCTTTGTGAAACACCCCTGGTACTTTATAAACACCCCTGATATTTTATAATGATCTACCACTAGGTGCGTGTTTGCATACGGGTATATGTAGGAAGTATAGGGGAATGAATTTGTACGTGAGAAAGAAAGATTAAAGGTCGCACTAACGCACAAGAGGTAAGAACAACGTGGATATAAATGGACTCAATGCGGAGGGACATGAACCAGACACAGAGAGAGACTAAAGGCCACGGCGAGCCGGAGAGAGATATAAAAACAATGGAGATTCGGAATTAGGGCGAGTAGAACACACTACGAAAGAAAATTCACACTTGAACCCCACCGATACAGTAAGTACAAGGTAATACGATGCCAGGTAACGTCTCCGATATTATTAATAGCGATATTCCACACTATTAACCGATATATATGAAGAAGAAAGCTTTAGGTAACGTTGCACTCTGTCCCGAAACGTGTTTTCTTCCCGTTCCCCCCCCCAGTTGTAACTTTCGGCCTAGGACGGACCGAAACATCGCCTATAATTTACCTATGACGTGGATTAAAAAAGCGAACTGATAAGTAAAACACACGTCGGTATTATATGCAAATCCACATACGACACCATCAACTCGACTGTTAATTGAAGTATAAACCGAACTTTGGTCTCTTTAACTCGACCCCCGACATCTCAGCAGACTACCACTGCTTCCACACTACACCCAAACATGTCCAACACCCCTAGTGTAGGTGAACACCTGCACAACACCCTCTAGGGTAGGAGAACACTTGCACAACACCCTCTAGGGTAGGAGAACACTTGCATAACACCCTCTAGGATAGGAGAACACTTGCATAACACCCTCTAGGATAGGAGAACACTTGCATAACACCCTCTAGGGTAGGAGAACACTTGCACAACACCCTCTAGGGTAGGAGAACACTTGCACAACACCCTCTAGGGTAGGAGAACACTTGCATAACACCCTCTAGGATAGGAGAACACTTGCACAACACCCTCTAGGGTAGGAGAACACTTGCACAACACCCTCTAGGGTAGGAGAACACTTGCACAACACCCTCTAGGGTAGGAGAACACTTGCATAACACCCTCTAGGATAGGAGAACACTTGCATAACACCCTCTAGGATAGGAGAACACTTGCACAACACCCTCTAGGGTAGGAGAACACTTGCACAACACCCTCTAGGGTAGGAGAACACTTGCACAACACCCTCAAGGGTAGGAGAACACTTGCACAACACCCCTAGTGTAGGAGAACACTTGCACAACACCCCTAGTGTAGGAGAATACCTGCATAAAGAAATGACAGATACACCCTAGTGAGAAATACTTATACACTAGTAGGGAAAAGCAACAACACAAGGAAACCAAAATAGATCTATCTATCATCAATGGTAGACTACCCCCTTTTCTCTTCTTCAGGTAAGCATCCATTTAATAATAAATCTCTTATCCATATTCCATTCAACTAGCCGTCTTGCCTATCCATCTCTTTCTCCGTGTCTCAAGCCGTGATCCATATTCCAGGCAA